AGCGAGTAGGAGTGCAGGAAGCGGTTCACCTACGGGAGAGGGGACAGAGTCAGACAGTGGCACTGGGTCCACTGGGAATGGGATTCATTGCCTCACACAGCCCCCTCAGAATGGAAACAGTCCCGGTCTTCCAACCCCTGGCAGGACAGACCTGTCCCCAGCTGCAACACCTAGGGCTGGTCACCGAAATCCAGGATGTGACTGGCAGGAACTAACACCGCTGCCAAAGTGACATCCCTCTCAATTGACATATCCATCCCGACAGCCACATGGAGTCCTCCCAGTTCTTTGCCTGCAGGTGCAGCTCTAGTAACGCTGTGCATCACTAAGGGCTTTTATACAGTCTTTGGAAACAATAAGGCAAACACACCCCAGAACTTCAAGTCATCACTAGTTATTAATCTGCACCCAGTGTCGACTTTTACATTGTTTGACTGAGGATAGAGATCAAATTAAAGAACCTGCAGTAGATCAAATCAAACTGTTCCCTCTTCTTCAATACAGGCACATTAACCCGCTGTACTAGAGGCTAAGGAGAGCTCATTCTACTTCCTACTTCAAGAGGACAGGAACAGAGGCAGCTATGATCCCAAAGTTGTAAAAAAAGTCTTACAAGGGTATTACCAGGGCAGGGCGCTCCTACAAATATCCAGCTGCTTAGCAGTTTAGACCTGCTCAAGTCCTGAAACATCTCAGTATGTTCACATGCCTTCCAGTCACCTCAGAGCACAGGCAGAACCAGTCTGCCCCTGCCCATAAAGGGCAAACATATGCACCAGCTCTCTCATAGGCCTGCATGACCTCCCCGGTATGCAAAAGCTTCTTCAAGGCCAACATGATCGAGCCAGAAACCTCCTCAGACAAATGAGTGCAAATATTTAAACAGACAGGACTAGATAACGCTAATTCCTAACAGATGATGATCGATACCCTCAGTGACTAATGGACAGCAATGTACACTATCATCTTTAAATGACAGAGCACTCTGCTGCTCTATAAATACACAGCAGAGAGGCTGAGCATTTCTGTCTTCCCATCAGCAATCGTATCCTCTCCAGCTCCTCACTGACTTGCACCAGTGGTTTCCAACTGGCACACCGAGGAGCAGGCTTGGGGCTGGAGGAGCTATTCTTGTGCTGCTAGCAATTCAGGAGTCCCTCAAAGGCAGACCAGCAATTGCAACATGCCTTGCAATGTGTGCAGCAAATCTGGTTCTGTAGCATGCCCACGGCCACAACAGACAGCCCTCAGGTCCTCCATAGAGGCTCTCGCTTGCCTGGGCACATTGACTGCTCCACTGCCTGAGTTACTTTTATACCTGATATAGTCACTCTCATTCAAATTTTGTCCTTCATCTCTTGGGGTTCTGTGTGTTGTTGTGCTTGGTGTAAACTGTTCATTTTCTGTCCCACTTTACTATCACCTGTTACATGTGTTTCTTTTATTTAGTCCTTCATTACTGTCTTCCTTCTGCTACTGATCTAGAATAGCCTTCTAGCTAACACTGTTTCTCCTCCAAAACTGAAGGACCATCAAAACATCTATTTGTACTCTGATACCAAAGGGTTAAATAATTCAGCTAAATTAAGAGAAAAGCAGGCACATTCTTTAGCCTGGCATCTCAAGGTTGGGAAGCATCAAGAAAAAGAACAAACGATAGAAGAAGGGACACTGTTATCTAAGTCAGTAGGCAAGAATGTGGAGAGAGGCCTTCAAGCGGGGGAGCTCTAGACATGAAGGGAGCCAAGCTGATTGAACGTTACAACCCACAGACATCGACAATAAATAGGCTGAGAGCAGGACAGAGGTAACTGTGGTAGTGAGAGATCACGACCTCCAACTCAAATGGCCCCCCTGAAAGAGGGTAAAACCCCGCTTGGGGAGCATGTGTAGTTAATATGGAGGTTTCATTAGTGCTTATTGAGGATGCGTACTAATTTACATTAGAAGTGAGAAACTTATAACCAATCCTAAGTGTGAATAACAATGAATATGTAGTGTATTATGAATATGCAAATGTCTCACGGTATATAATATGTATCTTCATTTTACTCGGTGTGCAAGTTTGGAGGAGCGATCCTCCTTTTACCCGGTGCCGAAATAAACATGCCTGCTTTATAACTCTCCACGAGTTGTAGAGTTTGTTTCTGCACATCACTCTTGAATCTCCATTAATGACACTTGCCTCTAGTCATCTTCAGCCTTGAAGAACCAGCCTCCCCACCAGCCTCTCCAATGACCAAATCCACCTCTGACCATCTGGGACCAACCCTCGCCCTGAAGCAAATGCCACCTTTCTGCTTTCTCGGCAGTATTTTCCACACCACAGCACTCACCACCAAGCACTGAACAGGTATCTCTCATTTCTCTTTTGGGAAAATGGTGCCACCTTTTACTGGAGCAAACACTGCAAGGAGGTAACTCTTCAAAATAAGTTCCCACAAAGATAACACCATGTCACTGCCCCACGTCCACCAAACAGAAGAGTTTTGTTCTTAAAAAGCCATTCCTTCGCCTCTCTGTTTCAATGAGGAGGCCTACCGTAGGCCATACCTGCTTGGCGTTGATGTGATAGACCGAAAGCTGCTGCAAGGCTGCAGACACAGTGTCACTGTCCCCGGAGAACAGCTCAGCCATCACCTCCCCAATGTTACTGTAGGGGATGGGCACACCCAGCAGCAGGGCCACAGTGGGCACCAGGTTCACCTGGGGAATGGCCTCAGGCTCCTGGAGAGACAGGGGAAGAATCAGAAATTCAGAAAGAACACAGCAACACAGTTTTGCATTTGGGCTAGAGGACGATGGGGAAGACATCCCTGTTCGTAGGGGAATTTGGGGAAGCCAGGAGTGGGAAAACACAGGGGAAAGCAGAGGCACAGCTGTGTGCTCCCTGAGTGCCCTGTGGAGGAGAGGATGCCTGCTGGAGCTGCAGGTCCTTGGATACAGGCCTGTCTGTCTAACAGCTCACCTCACCCCACTCAAACACCCCTTGCAGCTAGAGGGGCCTGAACATGGGTCCCAGACACTTCAGCTATCTGCATCCTGTGTCAGCCTTTCCACTGTTCTCTTGGGAAAGGTGAGAGACTCCCCAGTCCTCTTGGTCTAAACAATCCCAATCAAACTGTCTGTAACCCCAGGACGCAGTTTTAACCCTGGATGCCACCTCAGGGAGTGACAGCTAAGGATCAGCTTCTTCTCACCTCTGGAGGGCCAGTGGCAAATAGGGGTCTTCTGCTGTACACAAACAGCGCTGCATTCACTTCCTTCTCACTGTCACCGCCATGGTCTCCGGTCTCCGTCATGCCATGGTCACCAGCCACCAGAAGAAGGGTGTCATTCCCCAGGTGATCCACCAAGGCCCTGTCACCAGGGTAAGGAAGGTCAACTCCTACCTTGGCAGGGGTCCAAACAGCCCAGGTGGGAGATGACATGTCCCCACCAGGCCTGCCTGCGCCACAGAGGTGAAGCTCACAAAAGGATATGAGCAAAACTGTATGTTGATGCAGAGCCATAATAACTGAGACAGGTACCAGGGTGATGGATGCTTTAAACCCAAAGTGAAAATTCACAGCTCTGAGACAGAGTGGACTATCTTACTTAGGTCCCCAGTGAATAGTGGCTGGTTCCTCAGTGCCTTCAGGGATCTTGACAAAACACAATTAGAAGAAAGGTTCCCAACAGGAACAAATTTTAGGCTACTTCTATTTGGATCTTGTATATTGCATCATGTTGTGTGAGCAGTCTCCTACTTTTAAAGAAAAAAAGAGTAATTTGTCCCTAAAGAATGCAGTAGGTATGACATGATATATACTGCACTCTCAGATGCAGCAGGGCAGGTTACCCACTCCTTCTAGCAGCAAAAATTAAAGCAGTCCTAAGAGTTAAAAGCTGCAGCATTTTAGGTTGAGGCACGGCTGCATGATCAGGATTTCTGGATCCCATTCTGCCCTCTGACATAAAGGTGCAACTCACGGGCCTGTGCAGTAAATGCAGCATTCCCTAGTCAGGGTCCTCCAAATGCTTCTCAAATGTTAGCCAAACCTCAGTGTGACAATCTCCATTTTAAAGATGGAAAAGCTGTATTCCAGCTGCACCATCACCTGACAGTTTGGTTGAGAACCAAGGCTCCCAGACCTGAAGGCAGCCTCACCTCTGAAACCAAACCTCATGAACATGTATCTATGCAACTAAGATTGCCTCACAGCTGGGGTTTCAGCTGTCGCTAGCCAAAGCCGTTTCTGTGTTAAAAGGCATAGTAAGCATCTCCTGTTGCCCTCTGCATCCGTAAGCTCCCCAGGAAGACCTCATCAGCCTGGCTGAAAGAAGAGACCAGCTGGCAACCCCCCACCGCCCCACTAATCACCTGAGCATCTCATTCATCTGGGTGAGCTTCTTAGCCATTTCGGGATGGTCAGGTCCGTGTTTGTGTCCACAGTGGTCCACGCCAAGGAAGTGAGCAATCAGCACATCCCATTCACCACTGTCCACTGCAGAACAAGAGCAGCCTTATCACACACTAGCCTGGGATTCAGGCACAGACTCTACACCTGGATCCTCCTGCCAGAGCTTTCTGGTTGCCTCTGGAAACTGCTGTTTCTTCCCCTCCTGCCACTGTTACTTTCAGCTCTCAAGCAGACTGACGCACGTTTTAACAGAGGCACACTCTTGGTCTGCAGGTGCCCGGATGCAACGCTGCAGGGAGCTCAACACCCGGCAAGCACCCCAGCATCCATGTTTTTTGTTCACTACCCCTCAGGAGGGGGATGGCCCAACGTCGCCCAAGTCACTTGAAATACCATTAACTCAAACTGCCACAAACTGACCTAAACCAAGGTGATGCTCAGGAAAAGAAGAACCCAGAACCCAAGCCCTGCCCTGGAGGTATTTCAGATCGGACTCATCAATGTGCCCCTCTGCATCCCACCCAGGACATGGGCCTGGCACACCAACACTGTCTCTAGCTAGAAAGTTAACCCGGCCTCTCCCCTCTGCTTCAGGGCCTCGATACATGAAAACCAACATATTTGGAGGTAAATGATGAACTGCAGCTCTCCCACAAGGCACAAGGACTTCCCCGTAAAGGCCATTGCACCCTTGATTCACTTAGATTCATACACAGATAAAGCAAAGAGCATTCCCTTCAGTTCCAGGACCTCAGGGAAGAATCTGACATAATCTAAAATTCACAGACCAATCTCACACTTCACCTTCTTCCCACGACTAGCAGCCACCAATGCTCTGCGGAGAGCAGTGCTGTGCCCAAGCCTCCTGAGGTATTTCCCAGAGCACCATGTGCCTGTCCAGGCACCCACAGGTCAAAGTTAAGCTGCTTCCCTTGCTCCATCCTGGCAGCATATTTCAAGGACAGATGTAGAAGTCTAACCTCGTCCCTTCAAGCTGCACTCTCTCCCAAACAGAGAAAAAATATTACAGAAACAGTTTACAGGCCCCAAAAGCTGGCTTATCTGTGGAAATCCAGCTAGAGCACTGTAATCCCCAGGTAGCAGTGTGTGATTGCCCAGTGCCACTCCGGAAAAAACTCTTCAGTCCTACCCAAAACTTGCCATAGGTCCTCCACATAACATAAAGGGTTATTGAGGCCCCAGGGAACGAGATGGTT